ATTGAGAAAATGAAGTTGCTAGCAAATTTGAGAGTTCATTTGCCCCATTAAAATCATAATTTGGTACCCACAGTCACATTTGGCCAAAAAGGATATAGGATGTAGCCTGTTCCATGACATTATTTTAAAATTCTATTCATAATGTTTTCTGTTACTAAAGATTTAGTCACTCATTGATGTGAGTGAATATTATACTCTGTATATATCCATCCAATGATGTGAATGAAACTGTAATTATGGTCCTGGATTTTTATTCACTTACCCATTTTTTTCATTCATTATCTATTCATTATCTTTTCAACAAATATTTACTGAGTGTTTACTGTAGTAGTTTTTAATCTTGGCAGCAAGTCAAAATCCTCTGTGACGCTTTTTAAAAGTAGTAATCCCTGTGTAATAAAACCCTGAAACTGATTCAGTAGGTCTGGACTACAGCCAAGTACCTTTATTTTTTAAGAAGCTCTGCAGGGGAGTCTGATGTGCAGTCGGGGTTAAGAATCATAAGTTCCTCTATAAAGTGGGAGGGATATAAGAGTTAACACAAAATAGTTCCTGTTCACAAGGAGATCAGAGTCGAGTGAGAGAGACAGACAAGGGAACTAGTCATTACAGTAGTGTGTGGTTAGTGCTACATGAAGGGTGAGTACGCCTCTTCCCATGCAGAACTGGTAGACATTGGCCTGGTGTAAGTCCACTGATGGACTGTAAGACAGAGAAAGGAGATTCCTCTCAGTACCAAACCAAATGATCCAAACAGTGATTGAGTCCATCTCAACCACCTACTCTGTGCCTTAATCAAATAAATTATCCATACAAGACTGATTAAATCCAGGAAATGGAAAAACAGAGAGACCAGTTTCTATTTCTGATAATAGGATATGGGAGATGAGAAAGCAGTAAAGAAGGATTGCAAAACAGTGAGCTCCTCAGAGGCAGTGATGGAGTGTCACTAATGGCTTTCTTCCCATGGCCTAATTCAGAGTCCAGCACATAGGCAGGCATTGGATCTCGTATAATTTTTAATCTTTCCCCCAATGGCAACTTGCAGACAAATGTGCCTACCTAGTTTGTACATTCCTGAGAGAACTCTGTGGCAAAGTTGCTGTCTGACCAGTGACTTTCACAGTGAAACTCATCTTTGCTACCTCAGAGGAATGGGACATTTACTGATTGTCTTTGAACTCTCTAATTCAGACAAAGAACCTCGTTCAGTTTTTGATAGTAGGATTGTCTTTTCTTAAATTCTCATCTTTATCAGTGCCAGTTGGTGGTTTGTTTTTGCTACTTTAATTTTCATTACCATATACTGTTTTATATACCTTCATTTCCTTTTCATTTCATTTTACACAATCTGCATTATCAACCTTTCTTCCTACAAATTACAGACACAAAAGTGCCATTGTAAAGGAAGGGAAGATATGTGCCTTTGATCCCCAGAATAGCACGAAAAAGCTCCATGAAACATGTTGCCTGTTGCTGTCCCTTGTAATCTGGTTCCTAAAGATGGGACTTGAGGAGGCTGATAGAACCACTCCTAGAAATCCTGTCCAGGAAACCCAGTGGACATAGTCCAGATTAGAATTTCCTAAACAGAAGTAAGAAAGCCCCAGATAAAAAGCTTCATAGATCGGAATTGTTATCTTCAGGACAGTCCATTCCTAAATATAAATGAAAGCTCTTATTTTCTTTCTCTATGGTATGGCGAAGGGAAGGCCTAATTACACCTTATTAAAAAAAAAGCTCATCTGATCACAGTAGTGTTAATTTGTGAGTTCCAGATTCATATATAGAATAGGCATACTTAATGTGAGCATGAATTATATAAACTTGAGGTTGCATAATATAAAATATTAATAATATCTCACTTTATGTGAATACTCAGAAATAAAAACAGATTCCCTCACAAAAAGAAGTAGTCAGGAATCTCATCGTTTCACAGCTAGCTGGCTGAATGAATTATAAACTATAATTCTGCCACAGGAAGGTGCCATTTTAGCAGGTAAACAGAAGGGCCTACCATACTTTGTCATGTCAAATAAACCAATGCTATTGTTTATATTAGAACTTTGATGGGAGTTTTTGACATTATTTTGTTATTTTTAACATATTCTCATATTATTAGTTTTCAAAAATATATTCAGTGATAATATCAAGGAAGCATTAATTAAGCTCTGCTTTTCTATCATTACATCAATTTAGTTAAGGCATAGCCAGGCATGGCTAATTAAGTGTGCCATGTTAAAAACCATATCCTTAAATAGATATATATTTTTTTGACGTGTGATAAATGCAAAGAAAGTTAAGCAGTTACCATGTTGAGCCATGTTTTTAATTTCTACAAAATATTAGAAATGCTAAGAAAAAAATTAAGCCTTAAAGCAAAAATATCCTACAGTATTTGTTGATCCATGTGCTCCATGAATGTTTACCTATTTCACATTAAAATCCATGTATATTAAAATGTATTTTATATTACATTTCCCCTTTGAGAAAATTAGTGTTGAATTATGCAAGTTTTGAATTACATACAGTCTTCAGGAATGCAACCTTCCTGAAGGTTTCTTTAAACCTGGCTCTAAATTATGAAAAGTTCCATGTTTGTTCAGATCCTTAGAATTTGAGGGTATTTTTTTTTGAGGTATAGTTAATTTTGCAATGTTGTGTTAGTTTTTAGGAGTACAGCAAATTGATTCAGATATATATATATATATATATATATATATATATATATATATACACATGTCTGTTTATACATATATATGTATTCCTTTTTGGATTCTTTTCCATTATGGTTTGTTATGGGATATTGAATATAGTTCCCTGTGCTATACAGTAGGACCTTATTGTTTATCCATATGGTACCATATGATATCACCTAGAATGTTTTGAAGCATATTTCTCAGTGACCAAAGCTCTTTCTCTAGAAAATAGAGAAAAATTGAATAGCAAATGGAAAGAAGTTACCTCCTTCCTCAGCTTTGACTTTGACATTTTGTTTCTGAGAAAACTGGTTGTTGGAAGATAAATTCCCTAGTGTGTAACATTTTCTGGCCTTTCAGCAAAGTAGATTTGTAGAGGAAACAGTGAACCCATAACACTGATTCAGTTGTCTTTACATAGCCAGGTTCTCAGCTCTGTGGTATATGTAAGATGTTATTTCTCCCCTTCTCTCATCCAGTTCCCTAAGAAGATTAATCAGATGCGTCTTAACATACTTTTCTGCTGGACCTACAAATTACTAAAATGTGAACTGTTATTAAGTTGTGAGATTCCCTTATATATTCTGAACAAGAAAATTTTGTCAGATAATATACTTTAGGGTTTTTAGTGTTTACTCTTAGATCCATGATCCATTTTTAATTAATTTTTGTGTGTGGTGTTTAGTAATGGTTGAAGCTCATTTTGTTTTGAATAGATAATCACTTTTATTGAAGATTTATTCTTTCTCCATTGAATTAACTTGATATCTGGGTCAAAATACAATTGCCTATGTAAATGTGGGTCTTTTTCTTGAGATGTCTAAAGTTTCTTTGGAACTGTGTTATTTGATGCATATGCATTTACAATTGTGTCTTCCTGCTGTCTTGACCATTTTCTCAGTAGGGAATGCTTCTTTGGGGGCCTAGTAATTCTCTTTTTTTAAGTTTATTATATCTAGTATTAATATAATCTCTCTGGGTTTTTTATGCGTATTCTCTACATGGCATAGCCTCTTGCTTACTTTTATTTCTGTTTTTATATTTAAAGCACATTTCAGTCAGACAGTCTCTGCATTTTTATTGGAGTGTTTAGTACATTTATACTTAATGTGATTATTTTTATATTCGGATTTATTGTCTGCCATTTTGCTGTTTATCTTCTCTTTGTCTCATTTTTGGGGTCCTGTTCTTCTCTTCTGCCTTCTTTTGTGATAAACAATATTTCTGTGGGTTATTTTTATTCTCTGTTCACTTACTAACTTTATTTCTTTGCATCATTTTTATTGATTGCTCTAGGGACCACAATATGCAACTTCAACTTCCAATAAAATATGAAAACCTTGTAATATTGTAGTTCCATTTACCCATTCTCATCCTTAGTGTTATTGCTGTCATATACAGTACATATCTATAGCTGTATTATAAACCCAGGAATACTGTGTTATAGTTGTACGTAAAGAGTTCTGCCTTTTAAAGGAATTAAATGTGACAGAAAGACAGTCCTCTCTTTTAAGAAATTAAGAGACATATTTCTTAACTTCATATTTTATCATTCTTATCTTCATTGCTTTCTGTTTATCCAAGTTATCACCTGATGTCATTTTATTTCAGCCTGAACTATTTTTTTTTGCATTTCTTGAATTTAGAGCTGTTAGCAATGAATTCTCTCATTTTCTAATTTATTTGAAAATGTCTTTGAATCTTTAATTTTGAATATTAGTTTTAGAATAGCCTTCTCAAGGACAGGCTTTTTTTCCTCAACAATTTGAATATCATTCTAGTATCCTATAGCCTCAACTATCCTAATGATTAATTAGCTGATAATTTTATTTTTGCTCTCTTTTATCTAGTGTATTGTTTTCTTTGTTGTATTCAAGATTTTTCTTATCATCTTTGGCTTATAGTAGTTCGATTATGATGTGCCTAAATACAATTTTCTTTGTTTATTTTATTTGGAGTTCATTGAAATTTTTGTAGCTGAGTGTTAATATTTTTTTTAATCAGAGATGGGAGGTGACTCATTATTATTTCTTCAAATATTTCATCATCCTTTTCTCTTTCTCTGCTCTTGTTTACTCCAGATACCCTTAAGAGTTCTGAAAGATGTTTCTGACACAATAGTTTTAAACTTCAATAGAATGCTTGGAAATAAAACAGGGAAGCATGGATGAAATGCCATAATTTTCCAAGGAAACTTAGTTTCTTAAACATACATACAACACAACCCAGTAAATTTACAGTGGAAAATACTAATGTTACCTGTTTGTCCTCTTTTCCTGTTTTTACATAATCTGCTCGTAGGTGCATTTCCTCCCTCTGCTATTTATGCACGAAAAGACTTGCTACAACGACCTACTCATATTGCAACCAAGACTTTTCAAGCTTTTCGTATATTTGTGAATAATGAGCTCAATGAACTTTACACAGGACTGAAGACAGCTCAGAAGTTTCTGAGACCTGGTGGTCGCCTTGTTGCCCTCTCCTTTCATTCACTGGAGGATCGCATCATCAAACGATTCTTGCTTGGGATAAGCATGACAGAGAGGTTTAACCTAAGTGCTAGACAGAAGGTGATACAAAAATCACAGCTGGATTCAGATCTTGGAAATAAGGATGGAGTCTCTATAGGAAAGGCCCCTTTAATGTGGGAATTGATGCACAAGAAGGTACTTACTCCAGAACATCAAGATGTACAGGATAACCCCAGAGGGCGCTCAGCTAAGCTTAGAGCAGCTATCAAATTATGAGAAAGTTATCATCTGATCCTTCAAGTTGTTCCTCACAGTTTCTCCTAATGTTTTAATGTGATAATCCTGAACAGCTTAATATAAGAAAGTGTGGGGTATATATAGAAAAGTACGATATATGTGTGGAAATTGGGAGTATTGAGCATTTTTTTTCTCAAAAAGAAAATATAGGAAATATCAGCATGACACAGAAAGTTTAAGTCAAGGAACAACAGCATCTCAAAACTGGAAAAATGTGTTCATCTTAGCATTATATTTGACATCTGAAATGCAGTCCTTTCTCTAACCAGGAAATTTTTTAAAAAGAAGAAGGAGAAGAATCTTGTGTATTTATCTAAATATGTAAATTCAAGCTGTTAAAAGAGATTATATCTGCATGCCCAAATTCTGAATTTAGATATTCAGATTTGTAACAAACTCTCTATGGATCAAATACTTAATTATGATCATACAATGAATTTCAATTTTCCTATTTGGAGATAATTAATTACTGCTCTAACTTTCTCAAATATAGGTATTATGCAAATATGAAATTTTCAAGTATTATTTTTAAAATGTATCATACTGATAAATTTCATTATTGAGATTAGTGTTTATTGTTTTCAAGGGATTTTTCAGTACGATATATGCCATGTTTTCATTAACTAAAAATGCAGAATTGCTTTAATAGCCCTCACAGAGAATATTTCACACAACTTATATTTAAAATCAGTCATGTTTATTTTAATAATAGCCCAGAACGCTTTTGATAAATAATAAAATCTCTCATCATTTGAATTCTGCATTTTTAATTGAGTTATTCAGAATAATTAAACCAAGTCTATTTGAAATGGAAAAGTATATGATGTATTCCAGATATTAAAATTAGTGCACCTTTAATTTTTTTTACTTACATATAATAACTGTAATTGTATAATGTTTATTCAGGAGAAGTTCACTTGGTCAAGGATTCTTTAACAAGTTTCTGAAATTAATTCATAATTCACATAACTTTTATATGTAAATATGCACTACTAGTTAACTCAATTATTCATCAAGTACTAAACTAGGCAGAAACAAAGGCAGTAAAATATGTCCTGTGGAGTTTATAGTCTAGTGGAGGAGGGCAATGGTAGATAAATAATCACAAAAATTTATATAAAATTGACACAGTAGTAAGTGCTATAAAGAAGCAGTACAAAGTATCGTAAGTACATCTAGTAGAGATTTCATCTACTGAAGGAAATCAGGTCTGACCATACGCTGCTTGGTTTACGACCAGGACGATGAATGAGATGACAGTCAAAGGGTGGATGGGCATGCTGATTAAAGGTGCATGTAAACGATTATTTGCTTATGTAGTTCCCTTTGAAGTCATATTTATACTATTAATTTGCTCAGGAAACTATTTATTCAAATACAGGAAAAATTCACCTTCTCAATTATATTACAGACTCTAAATTTGTAAATTTAGAAATTCAAGTGAATAAAATATCAACATAACTCTATGGACAAAAGAATTAATTGCTTGGATTTACCTCAGAATTTATCTGCATTATCAGAATTTATCTATTGCCTCTGCAATATTTCTCTTTAGTTCCCAAGTTTGTTTGCCACTTTTAATTTATATGCTTTATTCAAATCTGAGCAATTCTACAGTGAAACCAGAATTATAAAATGTTCTAGAGAACAATATGCTCAAATTAGAAACAAAAGAATGTACCTAGCTTAATCCTCTGAATCCTTCCTGAAGAATTTTGTAAGTTTCTCTGTATGTCAGTCATATTTGTGAATGAGAAAGATTCCCAAAGTTCCCATCTCTTGAATATCTGATTAGAAAATTAAAGATCACATCTAATATTCAACAGTGATTCACCTATTCATCAATCATTTTTGCATCCTATATAATATGGGAACTTTTTCATTAATGTTAATTGGAAACTGACCAACTGGATTAGATGACATCCCTCCAAAATTCATGTCCTTTCTAAAACCTCAAAATGTAACTTTATTTGGAACTACGGTCATTGCGGACATATGTAGTTAAGGTGAGGTCACATTGAAACAGGACAGGCCCTTAATCCAATATGATTGGTGTCCTTATAAGAAGAGGAGAAGAGAGATAGAGACAAGGAAAGAGTGCCACATGGAGCTGGAGGCAGAGATTGAAGTGATAAATCTGCAAGCAAGGGACAATTGTTGCTGGCCACCATAAGAAGATAGGAGAGAAGCATGAAATGGATTCTCCCTCCCTGTCTTTGGTTGGGAACTAACTCTGCTGGCACCTTGATTTCAGATTTCCAACCTCCAGAACACTGAGAGAATAAATTTCTGCTACCTTATGCCACCCAATATGTGGTAATTTGTTATGGCAGCCCTAGGAAACTAATACTGTGAAAAACATCTTGAATGATATGCATGAAAAAAATCCTGCTTCAGTAAACACAAAATTTGTTTCAAAATGTTGTAGTATAAAAGTAAATCAGCTATTTTCTGTAATTAGACTGTTTACCACAATCTTTTGTGCTTCTTCTTAGTCTTAGTTGTAGGATGCATAATAAAATACGTGAATGAGCTTCAAGTGATTAACTCTGGAGAATGGTTTGGGGAAATTCCAACAATACTTATGGAAAATAAAAACTGATTGTTAAAATAAATGTACATTGCTTTTTCAATAAAATATAAATGATATAAAACAAGCAATTGTTTTATGTTTCTGAATCTCTGTATTGGCTGCCTTCTACTAATCATTTTAATATAGCATTGATTCCACTGTGTAGGACGCCAGTTCTTAACAGATTTTAGTTCATTGTTTATTATGAAATGAAATTTAATAATGGCACACAATTTTTAGTTGATTTCTCTATTTTGTATATTCATTTTGTTTTGAAAATGTATGTTAGTTACTATGTAATCTTCTTTTTGAAATTTCTAGGGTAAATTTTGGGGGGAGACTAATGGTATCTTTTTTTTTTTTCCTATTTCATATAATATATGATATGTGGTTTGTGCTTTAATTCATTTATATTGGACTGTGTTATTATAATACAACCCACAGTTTATAAGAGAATACAATATGCCTAACTCAGTTTGGGTTTTTGAAGTTAACTAAAATCTCTTAAAATTCACTTGCAAATATTTGAAAGTAATATTTTCTTTAGTCTTTGCAGAATATTACATATTTTCAGAGGTTTATAAAATTCCTTTTTTTAAAATTTTTTTAAATAAGAAGCAGAGATAATAATGAGTCTATATTGTAGACTTTTAAAAAACAATTTAAATTTTATTTGAAGTCTTTTATCCAAGAAGTATGAGACAGTTCTTAATGGAAAATTCAAAATGTACAACAAATGCAAAATCTGTATGATCACTTTCATTTAAAAAAAAGAGATGTATGTATATATTCATTCAATAAGCATATATTAAAGACTGAGCATTTAGGAAGAAATCAAAAGCACTTCTCTCTCTTCTCTCCTTCTTTTTATACTCCTTCCCTATCTCTTTTTCTGTCCACATTCATATGTGAATTTCTTATGCCTACTGAGGTGGCATTCACTTATGTTTCACATTTACTCTGGAAAAAAAAATATTAGGCAATATTAGCACGCACTCTCACAAATTAAGCCCTCCATGTTAGATTCTTAGTAATGGATATGAATTAATTAAAAATTGCTTCTGGTTAAAATCCTGTAATATTTATTTTAATGTAGCTATTTTTCTATTGAGTTTTTGTGATTGCTGCAGTATTTTAATAGATATTTTTGATGTAAGCAATATTCTGTAATAGAAAGAGATAAGCATTAAAATGTAAAGGGAATTTTGTGAGGTACTTGGTAAATACAAATTTACTGACAGAAATCCTGATCAGACATACATTTTTCTCAGAAGCACAATGTCATATGTTCAATGTTGAATGAAGCATGGTTTGTAAAAAATCAGCATCATATTCTAAAGAGGCTAGATTGTATAACAAGCGTAACTATTTTTATATTATTTTCTCAAATTTCATCTGTTTACAGCTACCATTTCCAACTAATGTTTGGTAACACACAGCGTGATCTTCAGGAATACTAAGAGAAAGTTTAAATACAAATTATTTTATTTTTTTAGATCTTGTTGCAGTATAAATTTTCAAAAACATGAGAAGTTCAGTAGAATTATTTATGCAGCATGCGATGATGATAGCTCACAATACTTTTCATTTAGATGGACATTAAAACTCTTCACAGAGTTTTTTGTCACCTCACTCTTTTCTCACATGATTTACTAAGATTGTTAGACATCAGAGTAAAGAAATAAAATGTAATGCTCTGATATGCAAAGTAGACGTCTGCCTCTTTAGTAGTGTCACATCTCCTTCGGCAATTATTTACCTTAAATACAAAGTATTTAAGTATAAGTTTTCCACCATTAGCATACACCCTATTAAAGAGATCCCTGCCCAGAAGCTAGAATACAAAACTGAAATCAAACAACAGGAGGACATGCTCCATTCCTAGTTCTTCAGTTCTAGCTCCTGCCCATTAAACTCCATCCTTGTGCTTTGGCCAATAATACTTGCCTGCCTTTCACATGGTGAGGATTTGTATTGTTAAACAATCAAATGGTATGATTCCTCATTCCTTTATGTTGCTTTGTTTTTAAATAGGATTAGTCCTTTTTTTGTGGTTCCATATAAATGATATGATTGTTCTAGTTCTGTGGAAAATATCACAGGTATTTTGATAGGGATTGCATTAAATCTGTAGATAGCTTTGGGTACAATGGCCATTTTAACAATATTTTTCCAATCCAAGAACATGGGTTATCTTTCCATTTTCTGGTATCATTTTCAAATTGCTTCATCTCAGCATCACTAATCATCAAAGAAATTCAAATGAAAACCACAATGAGATATCACCTCACCCCTGTCAGAATGGCCATCATCAAAAAGAACATAAATAACAAATGTTGGCAAGGATGTGAATAAAAGGGAACCCTTGTACACTGTTGGTGGGAATGTAAATCGGTGGAAAACAGTATGGATATTCTTCAAAAAATTAAAGATAGAATGAACATGTAATCTAGCAATTTCACTACTGGGCATATATCCAAAGAAAATGAAAGCTCTGATTGGAAAATATGCATGTACACCAATGTTCATAGCAGCATTATTTACAATAGCCAAATATGGATATAACCTCAGTGTTCATCAACAGAAGAATGAATAAAGAAGATGTGAGAGATATATGACATACACACAGTGGAATATTACTGAGCCATAAAAATAGAATGAAATTCTGCCATTTGCAACAAGGTGGTTGGACCTAGAGAGTATTATGTTTAGTGAAATGTCAGAGAAAGACACGTACTCTATGTTATCACTTATATGTGGAATCTAAAAAGAAAACAAATGTATATATCAAAACAGAAACAGATTCACAAGTATAGAGAGCAAACTAGTAGTTATCAGTAGGGTGAAGAAATGAGGGAACAACAGGATAGAGGTAAGTGATTAAGAGATACAAACTACTATGTATGAAATAGATAAATAATAAGAATATATTGTATAGCACAGGGAAATACAACTTTTTAAATAACTTTAATAGAAGTAAAATCTATAAAAATTTTGAATTACTATGTTGTTCACTTGAAACTAATGTTGTAAATCAACCATACTTAAATAAATAAAGAAAACAAATATACAACTGAAAGAGACTGGGCAATTCGTGGACTTTCACTCAAATAATGGGAAACATCTTAAATTTCTGCTCAGTGCTGATATAGTAAGAAAAAAGAATATGTTCACTTCCTGGATTTACATATATTCTTTATGAGCCTTCTTTTCTTTTTTAATGGCACCATACCTATTTCTTCTGAATTTATATTGTTTTCACACAAAAACCCCTTTGATGATGAAGAAAAGCATGTTTAAGAGCCAGCCATATGGGTTTCCTGTTTCTTATTATGTACATACATGTATGATTTTCATGGAGTGGGGAGGGGTTAGGGAGAAGGGAAAAAAATACTATTGTGAATGTTGAACCTATCTAGTTATTCTAGAATCTATCATTGTTCCTTTGAAGAAATTCAACATTTGCCTTCCAACCAGAGAATAAACATCAGCTGCTAGAGAAAGCTATTGAATTTCAAAATCCCTTTGAAATGTCACGTTAACCTGTTTAACTTTCAGTCAGTTCTTTAAAGCATCAAACATTTCCTGATGACTCCCAGATCTAAGACTGCTTATATTTCTCTGACTTTAAAGTTTGTTTCCTTCACTTGCAAACAAACTGTGGTGAATGAATCAGCACTGTTTAGGCCTGTGAGAAGTGTATCACAGTGACAATCTCTGTGCAATCTTTATGTACGTTAGTTCAGTTTGTGAACATTGAGCTGGGGTCAAATGCTCAGTCTGGCCATTTGACTAAAACTGCACCGCTCTAGCCTTTTACTTAGCCTGCCATTAAATTTTAATCATTAAAGCTGTATTTGTTTCATTGATTATCCTTTATTCTGAGATGTCTTAGAAATCAGGGAACCATTAATTCATTATCTGACTCAGCAATATCTATTACCTTTTTGCTAGGTGCTGTGGGTAAAAGGGAAAAGAAATGATGTGCCCCTTGTTATAAGAGCTACATTGTAATATAAATTGGGACAGATATGTAAGTTCTAAAAAGTTGGAATATAACAGGTTTAATTCTATAGTAGAGATTAAAATAATATGAGACCACAAAGGATTGAATAAATGAATGAGGTGGTCTTCTTCCAAGCAGAACTGGATTTACATTCAGCCCTTCATATCTGTGGGTTCTGCATCTGAACACTCAACAAACCTTAGGTCGAAAGTATTTGGGAACCACAATGAGATATCACCTCACATTGGTCAGAATGGCTATCAACAGAAAGAATGCAAACAACAAGTGGGCAAGGATTTGGAGAAAAAGTAACCTTCATGCATTGCTGGAATGTAAATTGGTACAGCCAATGTGGAAAACAGGATAGAGGTTTCTCAAAAAACTAAACATAGAACTGCCATATGACCCAGCAATTCCACTCCTGGGGATGTATCCAAATAAAACAAAGACATTAATTTGAAAAGATACAGGTACCCCAGTGTTCATAGCATTACTTACAATTGCCCACATTTGAAAGCAACCTAATATAATGGGATACTTCTCAGCCATAAGAATGAAATTTTGCCATTTGCAGCAACGTGAGT